GGACAAGCATCGCGAGGAGTATGACCTGTGCCCCTGCCTGGGCATACCCGATTCGGTCAAGTCTGTGGTGAACACCATGCTGGATGTGAGCCTGCTCAAGGATCCCGTCTTCATGCTGATGGGCGTATCCAACATATTCGGCATGGCCGGTTTGTATGTGCCGTTCGTGTACCTGGTGGATGCTGCCAAGGAGCACGGCATTGCCAAAAACGACGCCGCCATGCTGCTCTCCATCATCGGCATCACCAACACCGTGGGACGTGTCCTCTGTGGCTGGGTGGCGGATCTGCCCCAAGTCAATTCGCTGCTGCTCAACAACATCTGCCTGCTCATCTCCACAGTGGCGGTCACACTGACTCCGCTCTGCTACAGCTATAGCGCCTATATAGCCATGTCCATTGCCTTTGGAATTGCCATTTCTGGCTACATCTCGCTAACGTCAATTATTCTGGTCGATCTGCTGGGCCTGGACAAGCTCACCAACGCCTTCGGCCTGCTCATATTGTTCAGAGGATTCGCTGCACTGCTTGGAACACCGCTGGCGGGCCTAATCTACGACTTAACTCAGACCTACGATCTGCCCTTCTACATGGCGGGTGCACTGTTTGCCGTGTCCACAGTCACCAGCTTCTTGGCGCCCTGCATGAAGCGCTTCAGTGGCTCAGACGAGACGCCAGTGCACGCTGAGACACTGACGCCCATCGACGAGGAGCAGGGCGAGGATGCCGAGGACGAGGACGAAGATCAGCCGATTACCATAGTGCCCAAGATCATCAAAACTCTGCCCAGTCCACAGCAGGAGGAGCCACTGCAGCCATTCCCCACCACGCAACAGAAGCCAGCAGCAACAACGACGGAATCAAAGCTCTAAGCAACAAGAATTTAGCACACAAACAAATAATATAAATAAAGCGAAGAGAGCGAACAGGAATGTAAGAATGATAAAGTGTATGAATTAAGAGTAGAGTGCGATATTTTTTTAGCAACTTATACAAAGAGGAGGAGCCCCGGCTTGACGGTGGAGCAAAGATCAAAGCTGACATCAGAGATGGGCAATGCGAGATCGCAGTTTAGGCAGGGGCAGGCCCAGGTCCAGGCAAAGCGAAAGTATTGTAAAGAGAGCACACAAAACAACTATCAATATATATAAATGATATATTATATATAACGATACAAAAACCGAAACTATGCCTAAGCAACTATTCAATATACACACAACAAATTATAGATTTGCTTGAAGGCAACTTAGGAAATTTAAGCAAACTTGGCTTAGCTTCGATAAGATTGTAGCAGAGCTCTGCTGCCATATATAATTAGCTATATAAATATATTAATACATAACACGCTCATAAACCAACAACAACAGCAGCAACAACAGCAACTAGGAACTCTGATAAATTCTGATTGATTATAGTTTCAAATGTTATTATACAACAATAGCGAAAGCAACAAAATCTAGATTGTAAAATATTTTTATTATTTGTTTGTTAAATTTTACGATTTTTAATATACCATTATGTACGATTATTATTATGATTATTATTACTACTACTATTACCATTATTGCTATTGTATTTGTATCTGTACATGTATTATAGTAACTCTCTATCTATATTATAACTGTTGTTGTGCATTCGTTGTTATACGGCAATTGTTTAAATGTGTCATATGGTCTAGTTATAGCAGAAAGAAGGAAAGGAAAGAAAAAAACACCCGATAGCGACTAGCGATTGGAAAAGTGAAACAACAAAAAACAAAACTAAATAAACGAGTGTAAAGCTTACTATTCTAATAGTTAGTTACTTTTTGTATGTATAAATATGGCAAAGCGATTAGCTTGTAAAGCGTGTAAGCCAAATGAGAGCAGAGGAGAGGAGGAGAGCAACAACTATTGCAGAGACAACGCGAAACTAATAAAATTTTATATTAAAATATTATATGAATGAAACCCTAAACAAAAATCAACTGAAATTGTTTTCAATTTTTTAACTAATAATGTATATGTACAATAAAATAAATGGCAACTTTATGGCTCACATTTTGTATATCATGAAACGAAATGAAAGAATCGTGCAAATATTTCCGACAAGTCCATGACAAAAGAAAACAAATTTTTAAAGGCTTGTGCGTTTTGTAATACACAAGAGAACTAACTATTAACAAAATATACATACATATATAGATTGTGTTATACTTATACATATATATATTTATATTTTAAAACTAATCAAATGTATAGAGTGGGTGACACCCCCACGCACACACATAAAGAGCAATAAAATGCAGTTCTACGCCATTTACACACACTTAGACATGCTCCTAACTAAATAAACAAAACAAATTTCAACTGTTATACGCAACAAATATAGAAAACTTAAATTGAGATCGCTAAGCTATGCTAAACTACATTCGCAGCACTAAGCAAAGCTGAACAATAAAAAATGTTAGAAGAAAACCAATCAAAAAAGAAAATAAAAACATTTTCCAAACATTAACATGAATTTTGATAATCTGTTATACGGCTGGCTGGTAAGTAGTGGAAAGATGGTAACATAACACTGGCTCTAAAAAGCATCGATCAAAGTTCTGATAACGATAATTCAGTTGGCACCTTATCGAATTACCTTGTACTCAAGCAACGAGAACTCTACATAAATAGCAATTATGGGCGTGGAGTGGAGTGGAGTGGACGTGCGCCACTTGGGCAACACTCACAAATCGCAGCCCGATTATAAACTGGTCCGGCAGATTAGCCTAATCAATAAATGGCGTTTAAATGAGCCCTGCGAGTTGCTAGTATTGCGAAAAACACCTACACACACACACACACATATCAATCACATATCAATCTAGATGTGCTTACGCCACTGCGTGATATCGTGATATCAAAGTATTGACAAGTCGCCCCACCAAGTGCTGCGAAAATAACAATAAAATGCCCACTGAGACATTTCACAAACTTAACAGGGCAAACACATTCACACACACACACATATGTACAGAGCTGGACAGCTATCAATTTTGCTTTGGGCCGGGTGCATAATATACATGTGAGCCATGTACGCGTGAAGTATCGTTTCGCTTTGCTCTGCTTCTCTGGGCCGTAATGGGCAGTGGCCAACAAAAATGTCATTGACTGTGCGGTTGATAAGGCGGAAGGCAACACTAAACCGGACGCCATGCATCATACAACTGAGTCAGGGGGCACAGCAAAGGTGAAGCTAAAAGAAGCTCAAAGAAGAAATGCTCATTAGAACTGTAAAATATATTCATAATGTTTAATACTTATAAATATTTATAAGTATTATTAATTTCCATTACACGAATTCCTACAACATTTCTTATGCAAAAGAAACTGAGGAAACCTCAAAACCTCAATTGATATACCCGGCTATAGCAATGCACTAACTGCACAAATGCGACAGTAAGTGGATCATGACGTTGACGTACTATAAACTGTATATATACACTCGATTGATAAGCATAAAGAACGCACAGCAACAAGAAGAAGCACAAAGCGAGAGATATTGTCCTCTTGAACAGCCGATCAGTGGTAAGAAAGATTAGTATCAAAGTTATATAGAATATAGACCCAAGTATATGTGAGTGATGTCTAGACAATAAACCCAACACCTGTTAAGGGGCTTCGCCCCCAAGTGCTACCCCTCATAACCAACTCGAGCAGGCATTACAAGCACTCAGAAACAATTCAATCGGATCGCAGCAGACCAAGCAACAAGCGCCTAGCAACAATACGAATAAATCACTCGGAAAGAGCTGCCCCAGCAATTAAGCAAAACTATACAAAAAATCAAAGATATGCTAGCTACTGCATGACGAATATCGTATACCCTTGCTATTGATATTTAGAAATTATAAAGTTCTAATAAAATAGACAGAAACTCGAAAATTAAATATTATTGGAGACGTAGAAGAATAAGAGGAAATTGAACAACTATATGAAATGAAATATATAAAGTACAGAATCAAACATGTTCGTATATCGCAATTATATCGACAGATATTGAGATTGCCCAAAAACCAAAATACAACAACAATAATAATAATGCTTAACTTGACTCAGCTATATTATAGCAAATTATAGTACCCCTATAAGCGTATCACAAAAAAATGAAAACAACATTTGGAAGGCGTCGCAACGACGTCCCATATCATGTGATATTTTGGGTACACCTGACTCAAACGCAACTGAAACCCCAAACGACTTCAACCGAGCACAGAAACCCGGAGAGTCAGCACAAATTACATCAAATAAACACAACTAAAGACGGAGTTCATGAAAAGCCCAAATTAATTCTCATATGAAAAATTCCCACAAAAGTCTCAATGTTTGTAGAAACATAGCGAGCTCAATGTAAATAAATGTATCAATTAATATTCATTCCTGTGTTATGAATCCTAAATTCAATCAATTAATGGAGAAAATGTAATTTATTAAATTTTAATTTGTTTCAATTGATTTGTTTTTGATCCGAAACTTAAAATATTTCTTCAAAGACAAATATTAAGGAGTAAATTGTAAATAATCAATTGAATATTTCTTGCATGCCTCCAAAAATTAAAAGTGATCAGGGAGTACATATATAGATAGGTGGAGTACTACATACACTAGGTATAGAGATATAGAAAGTTAATTGCATACTCAAGTTCCATTTAAGGAGAATGTTTATCAAAGAATACATATCGACCTGACTTTTATCAATTCAACAGAAGCTCAAATAACATGTACTTTTATCACTTGAATCAACATGAATTCTATTGGAATCAAGTTCTATGTGCGTTAGTGGCGAGTCATGCCTGAATAAATTGCAATTGATAAACAAAAAATACCCAACGGACGCTATCGCAACTCGTTCATCATTGATGAAAATATCAAAGTATAAATAGAGAAAGGTTTTATCAGTTATCCGACACTATCGAAACTATTCCCAAGTAAAAAACGCTGCTATCAGCTGGAATAATCAATTTGTGGCACTTACCCAGCGCTTCCTGTGGAGCTGGTGGGGTGGGCGTCTCCGCTTGAGGTGGTTGGACCGGCAGTTGCTGTTGCTGTTGCGGCTGCTGTTCGATGCAAATTGTTGGCTGAGGTTGTGGCTGAATGATATGATGTGAGGGAACGGCCTGAACCAGCATGGGCTGAGGCGGACCATCTGCTGGCAATGTCCAAGCAGCGGGCATGCCAGCAATAGGCGCAGCTCCACATTCGGATAGCTCATCATCATACTGACAATGTAGGAAAAAGATCGCATGAAAATAACGAAACGCTTAACTGTGGTTCACTCACCTGTGGCACTGGAGCGGCAATGGGATGCATGGCCTGAAGAGGAGCCAGCTGTCCATCTTCATAGATCTGCATAACGCCCATCTGCTGTTGCATCTCGTGTATTTGCTGAGTATCGTAGATGGGATAGTTGGGGCTCAACATGTTCGACGTTTCCGGTGAGGTCAACGTTGAGCTGTTGTGGTTGAGCTCATCGCCATTCGCATGCGCCATCTCCTGGTAATCTTCGGCATACATATGCGTTGGATGCCAAACCTGGCGGTCATCAACTACGCCGCCCTGCGGCTGGCCAGCGTCGTCGGGCAAGTATTGATATTCAGACGGCTGCATAAGTGGCTGGTAGAAACAGCCACCCATGTAGTTGTACATGGGTGCGCCATTGTAGAGCGGTATATGAGATATATACAAGGGCATGCCAGTGGCCGGATGTGGAGTGCCTGTCGCAGTTGGCGGCGCTTGTATGGGGCCGTGATGCGGCGCAAAATAGGTGCCCTGATAGCCGCCATATGCAGCGTACGGATGCGGAGCGTAATAGGACACTGGCTGCAGCTGTGCCTCCGGCGGTTGCTGCGGCACCATCTGGTCCGGTTGCAGTTGCATGGCGTTTGGTGCCGGGCTGGTGCCGTCCGGTTGCAGTTGCTGTGGCTGCTGCGGCGGCAACTGCAGTTGCTGTTGCATGTGGCGTTGTCCGTGGTAGTCGCCGCGACGTTGGCCACCGCCACCGCCGCGTACGCGGCCACGTCCACGATTGCGTCCGCCCATACCGGATGAAATGTGGCCATTCGGATTGCCTTGATGGTGTGGCATTGGCGCTATTTGCGGTATTAGCGGATTGCCCTAAAAAATAGTGAAATTCAAATGAATCATATTTTAAGGAATAATCAATGGATTATCAGATTCCAACTCACCTGCTCCGGTGGCAAGTCGCCATGCGCACTCACATAATGGGTCGGAGCACCTCCGCCTGGCATGTAGGCGGTCTGCGGCCAGTTATGGAGATTCACATGGGCAGTCACATTGTTCACAAAGACATTGTTGGGGGCCGGCAGCATCGCAGAGTGATGGAACGGATGATGTGGCATGTGCGGATGATGCGCTGCTCCATGGGCAGTGGACATGTACAGAGCTTGAGGCTGCTGATTGTATACTGTGGGCACAGCATTCACTGCGTTGCCATTGCCATTGTCGTTGTTATTATTGTTAGATGACGACACAATGCCGTTGTTGTTGTTGTTAATGGGCGGCGGCTGTGGCGTCGTTGGTGTGGACACTGGCGTCGCCGCTGGTGGCGGTTGCTGCTGCTGCTGTTGCTGTTGTTGCTGCTGCTGCTGCTGCTGTGCAACCGGCTGCTGCGTTTGCTGCGCCATAATTGGAACGACTGCGCTACACTGGCAACGCAGTTGGCAATGATGACGACCGTCGGTGCAATCGGATTTGGTTTGGCGTTTCTGGACGTATCTCAGGATATGCACAGCACATGAACACGACAAACGCCAAACATTGAAGTTTTTACTGCGAAACGACAAAAATAAAACCAAAAGTTAACACAAACGAAGCGCCAAAATTTGAGGTTAAATTGAGATTGCTGCAAAACATCTGGCAACGCCGCACAGCTGTGGGCCACAGAAGCAAGAAGCATAAAAAAAATACAAAAAGACAAATAAACAGAGAGAGCAAGTGCAAGAGAGAGCGAGAAAGAGAGTGCGGTCATACTGTACCGGGTGGGGTGACAGCCCCACCAGCCCCTCCCCGACAACTACAAGTGGCGTTCAGGTGTCAAAAATATATAATTCAAAACAACATGAATTTGCATGTACAAGCTTAATGCCGGCTGGCGAAAAAATGTATTGCTATCGTTTGACACACACACTCATACGGAAATAAACAGGAACGAGTGACACATGCACACACACGCACTCACACATACAAACTTACACACACACCTGTAAAAAAATACGTCACTCGACCGAACAAAAAATAAAAGAAAATTTAACTGCAATCTGCAGGCAACGAGTTCAATAAGTGTCGAAATTCCAACTAATTCGAATTGACTGCGTAACTTAAGCATGTAAATGCACGCATTCCAATGTCCAATGGCGGCGTCAGCGACCGACCGACCCAGCAAAGAGAACACCACGTTGACGGCAAAAGAGAACTCGGCGGAATGTGCCGCAGGGACGGTCGTGGGTTAGGGGCGAACCGAGCGGGCGGTCAGTTGCTCGGTCAGGAAAAGTGCGTTGCGGGGACTTACCTTTAATGGTTCGCCAATGGTAATTCAATTGTGTGGCAAATCTTTCATGTTTTTGCGTGCGGGCGGACCCACGACAGTGCGGCGGGTGGCTGCTGCCAATGAATAATTCGTGCTTCAGATTCACTTGCCGCGGCACTCTTTTTTCCAAATGACACGACGAATTCTGCAAGCAACTTTTCCACTAGGCTTTCCTGTCGCGTCGACTACTGGTTTAATTAACACTGTTACTCTCTGCACGCACCACCCGCACACGCACAATCATAAAAAATATAGTATACAATTTGTACCACTTGCACAAAGTCTTAATTATTTTATTTGCATGTGCAACAAAAAAAATCTTTTATTTCGTTTCTTTCACTCGTGGTGACAGTGTGACCTGTTAAACAACAGCAATCTTTGCAGAGAAGAAACATTAACAGTTGCTCATTTCTGTTAGCTAACAGAACAATACATTCTGCAATTACTAACAGTGTAAGCACTAAAAGCTTCACATCACCAAAAGTCCAAATATGCTTACAGCTGATTTTTTAAATATTCGAATATCTTGTTATATGACTAAATTACATCGAACTTATAATTAACATCTGCCAACTGGCTTCAAACTGTTATCGATTGGAAGTCCGTTAATAACAGTCACATAACAGAAACACGAATTGTAGGAACCTATCGATAACACCTGTAGTATTAAGAATATGAACATAATCGGTAAACACAAATATATTCGTTCTATTTTGTTTTTAAGTTGTTTGACTTTATTAATGCGTTTAACAAATATTTCTTTATGAATTTAACTTATATAAATAGCTTTGAAGTCCATTCACAGTGTGACCGTATGCGGCGTATAACAATGTCAAATTTGGCTGCAATCAGAACATAAAACCTGCTACACTGTAAATAAATTCATTTTGCTTTAATTGTTAAAACGTAATTTGGTTGGATAAAACCACGAATAACCATTGAAGTGGAAACCCTTAAAGCTTTGACTTGCGCATAGCAAAATCAATGATGGCCTGTATGCACTCATTGTCGTAGAACCGTTTTAGCAGTGCTTCGCACTCCGCATCATTGGCTCGAAGCAGACTTTCGCGCGAGGACAACTGAATCAAGCGCTTGCATTCCCGCATCGAGTTGGGCGGCAGCTCGGCATATTCGCGAATTTTTGGCCACACCACAGAATCCAATTCATGTAACTTGAAGATGCGCGACACGAAATTAAAATGGTATGCCTCCTGGGCACTCAATTTCTCGTTAAGCACCAGCATCTCTGTGGCCTTCGAACGGCCCATGATCAATGGAAAGGTGAAGCTGGAGCAGGCCTCTGGCACCAGACCCAGTTTACTGAAGGGTGTCGCGAAATAGGCCTACATGAGAGAGTTGCTGTAGCATACTTTAATTTGGGCGACCTGTTGCTTACCTCTTCGGCGCACCAAGCCACATCGCTGAGTCCTACAATGGTGCAGCCAATTCCAATGGCCGGGCCATTGACCAGTGTGAAAATAAGCTTAGTGCAATTCAGAAAGCTGCAGACCATGGATTTGAATATATCGTTGGTCTCCTTAAAATAAGCGTCCATGTCGCTAATCTCGGATTTCTGGGACAAATCGTTGCCAGCCGTAAAGAAGCTCCCCACGCCGGTAATCACGACGATTGAAATGGACTCGTCCTGGTTAACGGCGGTCAAGACACGGCTTAACTCCTTGTATCCATTGTAATTGATGCAATTCTTCTTGCGAGGATTATTGAATTTTATGACCAGAATTTTGTCCTCTTTCTGGACAAGCAATTGCTTAAAACCCTCATAAGACATTTTGGTATGGGTTCATATAGTTTGTTGTGTACAAATCCACTGTAATATGTAAATTACCACGATTATTAAGCAATTTGAATTGAATTCTTTAATAATTGTATGCCAGCCTGATTCAAATACCTTCAGTATCTCAGTACTTTCCCATTGTGGTCACAGCGTCGAGCGAAGTCCACTTTTATGAATATAATCTTCGTTCTTTTGTGCCGCGTCCAATTACAATGGTATACAAGGTAAATTAGGTAATCTTAGTTGAATGATGTGAACTAAGAGCAAAAGTGCGTCGGCTGACGTCAAATTGTTTAAATTCGCGGTCCGGCAACACCAGAGGAATATGAATTTTATAACGTGTACCGGCTTACGGCAATCGATTAGCTAATGTAACCACTGTGAGGTCTCTGACGTCACAGCTTAGCCTCAAATAACTTTAATTTCTCAGTACGGCAACGCCATGAAAGAGGAATTGTATGAATTTGAAACGTTTTTACTAGCCTTTAACGCGCTTTCGTTTACTTTTTTACAAAATCTACTGTAATCAAAACAAAATCTACTCGCTAATTTCATCGATAACGGGCACATTCTGTAGCTCAGAGCATTTACGCTTCCATGCAGCGATCTGTTCTCTCAGCACCTTCTCCTTGGCCGCAGCGCGCGTCAGCAGAACTTTTGCCTTTTGCAGCAGTTGTGTCTTCTTCATGAGCTGCTCCTTAATGTACTTTAGTTCCTCATCCTAAATATAAAAATATGAATTAATCTGTAGTGCTTTTCCTCTGAGTTCTCGATTCTACCTTTCCATCACTGCTGCGCTGTCCAACCTCCTGCTGAAGTGCAGTGATTTTCTCCAAAGCATCCGCATGCATCTGCTGAAGCCGAGCCAGTTCCGCGGATGCAGACAGTGAGTCAGTGGAGCCACGCGATTCCGTGGAGGTGCGGCCATCTTTGAGGAACTTGTTTTCTGAACGCAGCTTTTCCACCAAGTTACGCAGCGAAAGAATAGTATGCTCCGCGGACTGACCGTGATTAGTGTTGACCTTCAGTCCGCTGCATTTGCACAAGTCTCGACGCGACTCGTTGCGCGCCATTTCCTCCTTGAGTGCAAGGATATAGCTATAGGAGTAAGTAGCTTAGTCAGTAGATTTCAGAAAGAGGATTATAGGACATCACTTACTCCTCCAGATGTTTGATGCGCTTTTGTAAGCGATCGCTTCTGTCGCCCTGTCGCAAAAGATCCGAATCCAGCTGCAATTGCAAATTGCGCGCTTCGAGGCGAATGTTTTGCGCCTCGACCGCCTGGAGGCGCTCCTGCAGCTTCTCTAGTTCGGTTGTCAACGCATTGCTGCCACGCCCCTCCAGTTCCATGGCAATGATCTTGCGCTGCTGCATCTCGATCCGAGCCTTGAGGGCCTCTATCAATTCCGCCTGTCCTTGCTCATAGAAGCTGTGGTGTGTGGAGTTCGGCTGGGATTGATTGTGAGCCGGCGAGCTGCACTCACTGCTGGGCCCCGTATACGTTTCTGGACTCTCCGACGGCGAGGGCGTGAACTTTGCGGCGCCCACGTGATGCAGATTCGGACAGGACGGAGCGCGACAACACTTCAAGACGTTATGGGCACCTGCACTAGCTGCTGTGGTCGCCGGATTGCCTCCGCCTGCTCCAGCCTTGCCCACCTTCGACTCGAGCAAATGCTTGTCTTTCTCGAGCCGAGCGATTGTCGTGCGCGCCGCCTGGAGCAGTGTACGCGTCTTCTCCAGGGCCAGTTCCGTCTCCTCCAGTTTGCTCTTGAGCTTCTCAGCCTGTTGCTGCCATCGCTTCTGCTTCTCCCAGAGACCCACCTCGTTGGCGCTACGCGTGCGCTTGGCCTCCAGAAGCGTCTGCTGGCGCTGCAGCTGGGCCCGCGACTCATCCAGATCCAGCTCGAGCTGCTGGATCCGCTTCTGCAGATTCTCGTTTTTCACGCGAGCATTCAGCTCCGTCTTGATGGACACCACCGGACGCTTGAGCAGCTGCTGGCGGAGCGACTGGGTCAAGTCGCGCGCCTGCTTCTCGCGCTGCGTAACATTGGCCAGCTGGCGACGCAGTGCCTCCATTTGGGTGTGGTAGATCTTGTTGGTGGCCTCCGTGCGATTCAAGTCGGCCGCCAGCTTGGCAATCTGGTCAGCCGAATAGTTGGATGTGTCGTTAATGTAGCGCTGTTGATCGTCCTGTTGGAGAGGGATAAGTGTTAAGTGAATCTCCTCATTTGAAGTATCCACAACAATACAAACATGGAAGTTCTTCAGGGTGTCCATGAGGTCGCGAATGTGCTTGTCCTTTTCCTCTAGGAAGACGCGCATTTGCTCCAACTCGGGACTGCTGCTGCTGTCCATACACTTCTCCCGATCCTGGCAGAGCTTCAGTCTGTTGAGTAAATCATGATTAGATGTAAATATTTTTGAATACTTTCCCTTAATAAGCTTACTTCTCCCTCAGTATCTCCACCTCTTCCTCACGCGTGACCAGATTGTGCTCGTAGTAGCTCAGTTTGTCCTTGAGCTCCTTGATTTGCTTGTGCAGTGTGGGCAGTTCTTTTAGCTCTTCGGTATCCTGTTTCTCCCGCTCTCCGGCTGCTTCATCGGCAAGCCCTGCATCCACATCCTCCTCTGACTGATCCTGCTGGTGAGTGCCTCTATCCACGGAGCTGCGCTCAAACATTTCCTCAATCCTCTCATCCGTCAGATCAAGTGAAGCCTCATTTGCCTGGACATTGACATGAGCTGGCGACCTGTGCAGCTCCAACTTAGCCTTCAAATCCAGGACTTCCAGATCTTTGGTCTTAATGTTGAAATTCAAATTCGTAACCGTGGCCTTGAGCGTCTCATTCTCGGTCGTTAGCTTCGCGGCCAGCTGCTGACCTTGTTCCCTTTCCGTTTGCAGCAGATCCTGGTATTTTTGAATGGACTGATCTTTCTCCATCAGCAAAGTGTGGAACGACAGGATGGTCTTCTCCACGATGCCGCTGTGCTGACTATCCGACTCCCTGCGGCTGTTGGTCGTCTCCAGCTGCTGGCCCAGCTGCTCCACACGTTTGTTTGCTGCCAGTAGCCTGCGAAAAAGGGGAAAGTAGCAAATCGAAAATCTGATCCCCTATTATAAATTACTTACTCTGCCCGCACTTGCAGCAGCTCCTCATCCTGCGCCGTCTGCACGGCTTGGTGCTGCTGCTGTTGCTTCTGGCGCGGTCTGCAGCCATTGGTTTGAACAGCTGTCTCCAGCAGCTGCTTTGTGGTGCGCTCTGTCTGGGTTGTGGTGTCGTGGTTCGATAGCCGCCTCTTCGGGGACCCAATGGGCGACGATTGTCTGTCGATGAGCTGCGCCGTGCGGCGCATGGCGGGCACTGGTGCTGCCGCCTCCGTATTGGTGGCCACATCCACGAGAGTGGATGCCTTGCCCTCGCCCCTTGGCTCCGCAAACAGCGCCTCGATCGTCTGCCAATGCTCCGACTCTGCAGCTTGTTGCAAGCGCAGCTCACTCAACTCCTGCTGAAGCTCGGACTGCCTGGCCTGCAGACTCTCGCACCGCTGCTCCAGCAGCCGG